GTATGCCAACATTTGGTTGCGTGAACAAAATGATTTAAGCTATCTATAAATACTGGGTCTTTTTAAAATCTGCATCTGATCTACTAATGCGGGTGTTGTCATAATGCCGAGCTTACATCTTCCATTTTTTTCTCGACCGCATACCCAATGCCGGATTTGGACGCTCTTGTCTTGTCGGACATCTTGGAAATTAGGTAGATAAACTCTGTAGAGAAAACACACACACATATGAGACAGGTAAGGACATACAATCTACAAAGTCAGCTCAGCAACCAACATTGGTCTTACTTGCTCCAGTTTCTGCATAACTTGAAATCCTAAACCCGATTTGCTTGCACGAGTATCGGTGGAAGTCATCTTGAAGGCGAGTCTCACTCTATAAACTTGTGCAAAAGAGAAATTTGTTTAAAAGTCAGTCCGGTCCAGGTTATGTTTTATTACCTTTACAGATCTGCAACGGAAACAGAGAGACGGTTTAATTATACATTTTGTCTAACGTTCTTATATTGGGGATTTGTTTTCCAATATAAATCGAAACATACGTTTCAGAAAGAGCGAAACACTAATAGTGACACATATTGAACAAACCCCTTTCTAAATCTTTATTATTAAATAATTTGTATACCTTATCCATTATCTTGAAATCTTTTTCTTATGTTAAGGTACAGTAGTCTTGATAGTGTAAACCATACAGAATAATGTTTAAATGTATGCTTCTTAAAAGTGCTCTTTATGATTATAAAAGCATGGATCACGGTCGTAAAATATTAGCTCATAGTCGTAAAAATGTGGTTCATAGTCGTAAAAAATGTAGTTCATAGTCGTAAAAATGTGGTTCATAGTCGTATAAATGTAGTTCATAGTCGTACAAATGCAGTTCATAGTCGTAAAAATGTGGTTCATAGTCGTAAAAATGTAGTTCATAGTCGTAAAAGTATAGTTCCTAGTGCTGCATAATACAGGAAGCAAGAGACTGCATATTTAGATACACCACACAGTTTATATAGCAGCGACAAGATGATGAAACTAAGAAAAGAACTATGACTTCTTTAAAAGTACCGCATTGTACTCGCTTTTAAGACTTGTCCAACTACAAACTGCTCAGAACCAGACCGGCATGTGCATAATGCGTTGGTAGTTCTCGGTCTGTGCAGTTTGATAAGAGTGATCAAAAGAACAACCAACATATAGCTGGTTTGCAGGCGCATTATGCTACAGCAGATCAGGATCTTTGTTTTTGACAATTTGACTACTTATAAGCATGTAAAGACAATAGTTCCTACATCATCATCAAAATCATCATCATCATCATCATCATCATCATCATCATCATCATCTCTCTCTCTCTCTCTCTCTCTCTCTCTCTCTCTCTCTCTCTCTCTCTCTCTCTCTCTCTCTCTCTCTCTCTCTCTCTCTCTCTCTCTCTCTCTCTCTCTCTCTCTCTCTCTCTCTCTCTCTCTAGACAAATACTCAACCGAAAATGTTCAGTGCTGACAAAAAAGCCTTAAAAAAATACACTTTTTTATTTTTCTGGTACTAATAAGTCCATCACAAGCTGAGCCAATACCAAAGGAATCCCAGAAATGCTGTGCCTAAGTCATTATCCTGTTATCTCGAAGAAGTACACTTATTCTCTCTTCCTAGATACAGCAACATCCAACTCCCGAATAAGCGATTTCTAAATATAGCTCTGCAAGCAAACACGGCCTCGCTTTCAGATTCACTTTGTAATCTATCGCCGTTATCCTGAACACCGAGATTAAGAGATTTGCAGAGAAAAATAACACTCCGCCTCTGTTCCTACTAATGGCTAAATTGCTAAGTGAACATAACATTTACCACCCTCTTGCTTTGAGAAAAGATCATATGCATTATTTGGAATAAAAAAGGGCGAATTCTTTTCTAAGCAAAAAAAGTTTGTATTCCTAAAGGTTCCATTCGCTCATTCGCAATGATTCACTTTCTAAATATTATTGTGTATGCATGCGTTTAAAAGTATTTTGGATTTTGCATATTAGGAACAAATCTACCATAACTTTAGATTTTGAGAATTTGAATAAATCTACCATGACCTTATATTTAGACTTGATGCAGCTTTATGGTCCTTTGGCCAATAAGGGGTACCGAGATGACAATGGTAGTGTTTAATTGATATTAAAATGTATTTTCGTGATACCCTTTTTTCCTTGTAATTCTAAGACAATGTCTCAGTGCATAATAAATTGTCCAAACATACTATGAATGTGAACGGGAATGGGGAAGAAGGCGAGATTCATAAACGTAGTGCAAGTTGATGCTTTTCACGTATCAATACCAACGGACATTATCAACTTCGTTTGCTTCTTGTAAAGGCTAGCATAAAGTGGGTATAAGAATATTCTTTGTCAACGCGATTTACGTTATTTATCTGGCTTGTACAATATTTACTACTCATCATCATATCTCTATTTATATCTCGTCATTATCGTCTCCCTCTTTATAGCTTATCGTTATCATCTCCTTCTTAATAGCTCATCATTGTCATCTCCATCTATAATTCACTATTACCATCTCCCTCTTTATAACTCGTCATAAACTTTTTTTTTACAAAATGTATCCATAATGTTTGTACTGTCATGGCAAATTCATTAGTGAAATATTCTTTCAAGAGAACATAAGTCTACACCTACATTGGCACTAACTGATAAAAAGAAATTCAGCTTGTAAACAAAAATTCAGAATGTTCTAGCAGTGTTTTCATATAGCCCTATGCATTTGGAAGCTTCACTAGCAGTGCTTTCATATAGCCCTATGCATTTGGAAGCTTCACTAGCAGTATTTTCATATAGCCCTATGCATTTGAAAGCTTCACTAGCAGTATTTTCATATAGCCCTATGCATTTGGAAGCTTCGCTAGCAGTGCTTTCATATAGCCCTATGCATTTGGAAGCTTCACTAGCAGTATTTTCATATAGCCCTATGCATTTGAAAGCTTCACTAGCAGTGTTTTCATATAGCCCTATGCATTTGGAAGCTTCACTAGCAGTGCTTTCATATAGCCCTATGCATTTGGAAGCTTCACTAGCAGTGTTTTCATAAAGCCCTATGCATTTGGAAGCTTCACTAGCATGGCATGAAGCCATCGACTTGGGTCGAGGTTGTAAGGTTGTGATTCAACGCTATACTAGCTAATTGCCATTTTGAAATGCTGGCATGTTTGAATTTCTTGTTTCTCGGTCATTGAAATGGTGTTAGAGCTTTAGAAAATCGCATTTGATTCTTGCAGCAAATGTGACAGTGTTTGACATTAAACAATTAGTAGGTATTACGGAAGGTTATTATACATTCGTATTTACATAATAAAGAATTTAAAGGCAGAATATACAGGCGGATATCAGTCAAAATAATTTGTTTACGGTTATTACTTTGATAGAAATTTTGTCGTTAATTAGATTCCATTTAATTATAATAAGCCACGTATTTTGAATTGAACATAACGAAGATTGTTATTCTGACGATGGGATACTAATTCGAGAATAATAGAATCCCATCATCACAATAACAGACTTCGATATGTTCCATTCAGCATAGATTCCCTGACAAAGCCCCTTAAGACAGAAACCCCATGACCGTGGAAGCAAAAAAGCACCGGGGTAAGGGACAAAAGCCGCTTAGGAGAGAAACTCCATGACAGGGGTAGTACAAAACCCACTAAGGACAGAAACCCCATGACAGGAGTATGACAAAAGCCCTCGAGGGCAAAAGACACCTTGGGATAGGACAAAAACCCTTGTTTTTTATGTTTACAGTATTTTAATTTGTATAGATCTGTTTATGTATTTTATTGAGATATTTTAAATGTACTTATTTATTTATTTATTTATTGCAACTATTTACCAACTTATACAATGGTTCCCCTTGAACCTTTTAGTACATTCTGTAGGTGCATAGTACCTTGTAATGTATCCTTAAGTACATTTCCGTATCGTGTAATGTACACTTTAGTAATGTCTTTAGTGTGTACTATAATGTTAATCTTGTGTGATAACTACAAAACAAATTAATAAAAGTTCTTTATATACTTTTTCGTACAATGTAGATATATTTTCATAAATATCAAAAGAAACATTAAAATTTATTAGACACGTCTGAGCACCTCATGCTAGGCTACGAAATTATTTTTATGCAGATTCCCTGTACTTTTATATAAAAATAATTTCCCATTCTTGTGATGTAAACATGGATTTTGAAGTGAATACCATTAACAACAAAACTATATGATTTTTGAGCAGATTCCCCGTCATTATATAAGGAAATAACATCTCAATGCGGTGATTGTTGCATTGTTTGATATTTTTAAAAAATGGTTTCAATAAATGTAGCTGACATGTGTTATTGGAATATTGAATTGCAGTTCATTGTGCAGTTCTGGTTATTAAACCATTTTCTCAAACATACATACATACATACATACATACATACATACATACATACATACATACATACATACATACATACATACATACATACATACATACATACATACATACATGCATGCATGCATGCATGCATGCACGCACGCACGCACGCACACACGCACACAGACATACATACATACATACATACATACATACATACATACATACATACATACATACATACATCAACCCATACATGCATACATACATACATACATACATACATACATACATACATACATACATACATACATACATACATACATACATACATACATACATACATACATACACACACACACACACACACACACACACACACACACACACACACATACATACATACATACATACATACATACATACATACATACATACATACATACATACGTACGTACGTACGTACGTACGTACGTACAGATGCATTAGTTTATGCAAATGATAATGAATCGCATAGAAATATAAGACGATCATCCAAACGTTTAAAATAGCGGAAATTACTTCAGTACGTTCGTATATGTTTTCTTCTTCCCATGTAAAACCGCTCCGGTGGCCTAGTGGTTAGAGCGTCCGCCTCGGATGCGGGAGGTCGTGGGTTCGATCCCCGGCCGAGTCATACCAAAAACTTAAGACAATGGTACTAACAAAAGCTTTGCTTGGCGCTCAGCATTAAGAGGTTCGTGTTAGGACTAGTCGGCCTGGTGTCAGGATAATGTGGTTGGTGCCCCAGTGCTAGACATCACTATAAACTACCACACTGCATATATCGTAGCGATATGACTGAAAATTTTTTTAAAGCTACGTTAAATTCATATTCACATCACATCACATCTCCCCATGTAAGTGTAAGTTAATCAATTTTGTTTTCCAACACAATACTCCGTTACCCACACAAATATATGTAAATCGACTGAGTAAGACCAAGACAATGTTGGCTTCCCCATACAAATATATGTAAATCGACTGAGTAAGACCGAGACAATGTTGGCTTCCCCATACAAATATATGTAAATCGACTGAGTAAGACCAAGACAATGTTGGCTTCCCCATACAAATATATGTAAATCGATTGGATCAAGACAATAGCACTTTCCCGTAAAAGCATGTAACTTGATTGGGTGGGCCCAAAACAGTATTTCTTTCCTCAAAACATTGTATTTAGATCGACTGGGTCGGTCATAAAAGTGTCTATGTAACTCGATGGGTTGGCCCAGTACAAAATTCATGCAAGTGAATGCATATCAACTGGGTTGGCTCAAGGCAATGTTGGTTTCCCCAATAAAAGTATGTTTAAATGAATTGGATTGGAAGAGGACAATATTCCTTTCGCAATGTATGTAAATCACAATATAGCATTCCTTTCCAATGCAACTGTACGTAAATCGATTGGGTCAACCAAAGGAATCATCTCGAGTATACGGAAGAATTTGACCGTTACAAGATCGTATGGCTTCAAATTTACCTGAAAATAAACTGTGGCGTCTCTAAGAAATTTGAATCAGTATGTGCTTCTATGCAAAGCTTACCGATGGACCCTTGCCTAATATATAGTGTAAAAAATATTAATTCCTTTGCCCTTATGCTTTCCTTATAATCTTGCTATATGCTACGTCCCTGAAAATAAAATATATTCTTTAGTGCGCTTTATATTGACCAATAATCTTAAAAATTCTTTGTTAAAGTTTTTCTGCTTTAGTTGATAAACTCGATATTTCACCGTACTTAAATTATAATGGACACTTTAAATACTCATCGTTCGCCTGGGTTATACAAAATACTTTTAGAGAAAAAAAATGTCGAGTGGTCTAACGCGCTCGTGGATAGGTGAGAAAACTTGTCAGTAGCTTTCAGTGGGTAGGTGGTTCTTCTCGTGGAAGACTGGCCCTTTCCGTGGGTCGGTGATTCTTCCCGTGGAAGACTGGCCCTTTCCGTGGGTCGGTGATTCTTCTCGTGGAAGACTGGCCCTTTCCGAGGGTCGGTGAATCTTCCCGTGGAAGACTGGCCGATATGTATAACCTATCATGTGCTGAATAACGTCTTAACCTTTGACAACACCAACAAACAATATCTGACGTGAAACGTGCACAATAACTAACAAGTTCATCTCAAGCAAACAAAAAAGTCGCATGAAAAAAAGACAGTCGTGAATAACTTAAATAGAAGATTAAATATATAAAGCAAACAAACATGAAAATGTTATGATAGGGGGCGTCCATAAATGACGTCACGTGATTTAGGCCGATATTTTATCCTCTTTTCCCTAATCACACGTCGTCACCAAAGGTCAGACCCACTCAAATATGACGTCACAAAGCCCTTCCTCCCCCACCTCGTAAACGATTATTTCAACCCTGCTTCGTCGACACCAGCGGGCCGGAAACGGAAGAATGCTATTTGGAATAAGCCACTATTGAGGCTAGTAAGGGTGATGGTAGTTCGGAGACGAGTCATTTTAATTTGAGCGCGACATGACTGAAGTTACTTAAAAACATCATTAAATCAACTGTGAGCAAATAAAAAATTAAGAATGAAAATTAGTGGAACTTAAATTTAAAGTTGTGCATTTTGATGTGACATCATATTTCGTAAACACCACCTCCCCCTCGTAACACATAGTCATAAATGTGGCCCCGCTTCCCCCCGGTGCGTGACGTCATTTATAGCAGCCTTATAATGAAACAGCAAAAGACTGGCAAATAAATGTAAGTAAATTCATCGTTTTAATGAAGGTTACGTTTAGTATAAATTCGAATCCATAAAAATCATTCGTCAATGATTATATATATATATATATATATATATATATATATATATATATATATATATATATATATATATATATATATATATATATATATATATATGTGTGTGTGTGTGTGTGTATGTGTGTGTGTGTGTGTGTGCATATTATAGGCTAAACATGGCGGCCAGTATATCTGGTGTATGGAGGACCCTAAAAGATCCCGGATATCACCATCGACTCACCAAAAGCTATTGGTAAGCTTTCTCAAGAGAGAGAGAGAGAGAGAGAGAGAGAGAGAGAGAGAGAGAGAGAGAGAGAGAGAGAGAGAGAGAGAGAGAGAGAGAGAGAGAGAGAGAGAGAGAGAGAGAGAACGTAATGTAAACCAAAATAGAAGTAAATGTTCTCTTTCACATTTTATTTTCGGAAAATTACTATTGTGACAAGGCTTGTCAGGAAAATGTGCACAGTGGAAGATTAAAAAAAAAATGTTTATTGGCCAAATCGTTCAGGCTGAGAAATCTGCCTGGTGAAAAGAATGAGAAGTGCTGTGTTTCTATCAGAATATATCATTATTGCAAATCCGCCATGGCTGTTGTTAATGTCTTCCCTGGCTTAAGCAACAGATGTTCTGCTTAAATTGCTTAACCTTGATACGGAAATGATGTGCATACCAGACGACGTCCCTTTTAACCTACGTTATCGAAGTGATGCATTCCGGAAATCTTAAGACTTTTTTTTATGGATTTTAGCTTTGATTAAGAGTAAATTTTACTTTATATTCTGCATTAATCAAACCTGTTCAGGTAAATGATGGTGTGTACGAAAGACAGTAGATTATCGACTAATCAGTCGTCTTTTTATCGACTAATCAGTCGTGTTTGTTTGGGTATTGTTTGACGTGTAATTTTTCCAAAAGCCTTAACCGATTTGTCGGTTGGGGTGCTTTTGAAGTTATTAACCGCGCTTGAAATCTGCTGACATACTTGAAATCTGATGACTTTAGTGCACTAGTTATTTTTGTACGAAATTCAAAATTCAATCACCTCTAATCGGCAGTTCAGACAAGGATGACTGTTCAAATTTCCCGCATTCAATAACATTCCGTGGTGTAAGTTCTTGCTTTGGAAACTATCATATTTTCAGTATTTCACAATGTTTTTCGCCTGCGACTTTACACGACCCAGTTTTCACAAATATCTCCAGAATCATCACGACCCACGGGTTGTGAACCACTGAAGTAGCCTATTAGTTGTCTCACATCCCACCGTGCCATAGAGAAATATTCTCAAAATAGCTCTGTAGGAAAACGGTTTTGTACTAGTCTTTGTTGAGAATATTATGTGCATACAAGACTAAGGTATTCATTTTTTTTTGTCCGACATCTGGGTCACTGACAATTGCGTCATAAAGACATGTTTTAAATATAGTTCTATCGTAAAAAGCTATCGTATTAGACTTTGATGAAATTTCCTGAAATAGCTCGCGCTGAAACAACGGATAATTTTAGTGAATCAAGAAAAAGAGGTTATGTATAAAATCTCGATTTTATCCACCAATCAAGCTTCAGGTTTGGATAGACGTTAGTTACATTGTACTTTAAATGATGTAAAGAGTTTGCTTTTCAATATGCCTTTATATAACTTAAATTTTTCAAATTAATGAAAAATCACAACTGTTATATGTCTGACTAAAAAGGGAGATTGATTTGAACACTTGTAATTACAGACCTTTCGATATAACGCTTTCGATTACATACCTATCGACGTAACGCATCTAATTAGACTTATCAATTTGACGCTTTTTATTGCAGATCTGTTGATTTAGTGCTTCTAATTAGAGACTTATCGATTTAACGCTTCAAATTACAAACATATCTATTTAACGCTTCAAATTAAAGAATTATCGAATTAACGCTGGTAAACACAGGCTTCTATTTTGAAATGCCTCTAACTACAGACCAAACAGTGTATGCTTCGTTTTGCAGACGTAAGGATTGAACGTGTCTAATTACAGAATTATGGCAATATTCAGTGGCCAAGTTTTTGAAAGAAATTTTTTCAAGTACGTATACAATTACTATAATCACAATTCATTTATATTCAAGTACCAGTCTGGTCCTGTCCTTTCAACCACTTATAAGTTAATAGATACCAATCTCTAAATAAACGCGAATATTCCTCTATTATTTTTATGGTATATCTAAGGTGTTTAACCGGGTGTGGCACAAGAACCTCGTAAGGAAATTGGAAAAATATCGCGTCATTGAAAACCTCTGGATTTGGAGGTCACACATGTAATCGAAACCAACAGTTTGTCGTTGGCAACAGCTTTTTCAAGAATTACAAATCTCTATTAGTGTACCCAAGCCATCTGTTTGAGCCCATTCTTATTTTTAGTATATGCTGTCAACATTGCCGATGAATTCGGATCATTGTAAAGTGTTTTTGCTGATGACTCCTATTTCCAAATTTTTTTTTCGTTATCTTTTCGAAACCGGTACTGTACTATATGACGATCTAAATAAGTTTAAATATTGGAAAAAATGGCTCCTTAACTTTAATCCAAGGAAAATAGAGTGTGTGTATTTTGGTACTTATAATCTGCAAATTTTTCAAAATTTAGAATACTTCAATGAAAAGCCTAATTTCTTGAACTTGCACGACAATTTGGTAGTAACGCTATCTTCTAATGGTTCATTCTTAATATTATTCACTTGACCTCGAAGGAATTGGAAGCATCGATAAAACCAAATTAACTACCTCCTATAAAATTTAATTTCACACTAATTCTACCTCATTTTCATTGGACTAATACTTGAAGATGCATACAGAGTCAAGAAGAAAGTAAAATATGTTAAAAACTTAAATTACTTG